TTGCTTTTGAAGATATTTTATTTTATTAGCTTCAAAATCACTTTTGATTACCTAACTACCACCACCATTAATTTTTTAAAATAATGATTTCTTTGTAATTAATTTATTAAAAATGATTTTATAATATATTCATCATACCTTTAAAATTAATTTTAAAATAAAGTTTCAAATAGAAAAAAAAAATAATAATAATAATAATAATTATTATATATATATATATTAGAAAAGGATAAAAAAAATTGATTTTCTAATATAAAATAATAGTAATTCTAAAAAATAACTTCTTTTTTTTTTATAATTTCAATAATTACATATATGTAAATTAAACTATTTTAACGGCTAATTTATCATACTTTTGAAAATTTTGGAGTACATGGGCCGAACTAGGGTTTTCAAAATGGGCCTTAGATTTGGGAAAGATGGCCCGATAAGTAAATGGGCCGAACTACACTCCCAATGTTTTCAAGGCCCATGATTGAGCTTGATTCAACGTTTTAAAGCCCCATTAGAAACATTATAACATTAAAATAATAATTTAATTTATTATTATTAATTATTAAATTGAAAAAATCAAATTGGTTTGAGATATTTTTTTTATAAATTCAAATCTTTCAATTTTATATTTATGGTTTAAAAGAAAATTTTGGCACACCCAATTTTTTTTGTTCACTATAATTATTATTATTAAATAAAAAGAAAAAAAAAATTGAATTTGATAAAGCACACATGAGGTGTTCTTCCCTTTCACGTTGACTGAACCTAACCCAACTCAACCCTAAATTTTTTTAAATATTAATTCATAATGCATCTAATTATTTATTTTCAGACATTTAATTAAAATTAACTATTCAATTTTAATATTTATTTTGGAAAATTACCTTCTAAATAATTAAAATTATTTTAAATAATTGTTGGAAAATCGATAATAAAAAAATTATAAAATTAAATAAATATACATTTTAAAATTAATGATAAATTAAGATGGATTCGGTTTAACCCAATATAGTTTAAAGAGAGTTCACGAACCAACCCAATCAATACAAAAATCATTCATTTAAACCTAACCCAACCCAACTCGTAGTTCGGTTTGATCAAAATTTTCAAATTATAAAACAAAAATGGAAGACATTACATGACACTCTCTCCTCTCTTGTCCCTATGTTGGTTGGAATTTCAAATGGGTTTGAGATAAAATGGGGTGGCTGATCACATGCTCCACTTCTTAGGTCTCCTCCAACACCTTATTATTACAACAACCAATATCATAGTCCCAAAGTCTCGTTTCAACTCATTTTGCTATGTTGTCGGTAAACGTATGAAAATCTCAATTATGTAGAGATGTTAATGGAGAATGTCGAAAGTATGGACGCTAAAGAGACGTTTTACATCTTCCTCGACTTTTTATCGCTCTATTATAGCTCTAAAGGCTCATTGCAACTCATTTCGTTATGTTGTTGGTAAACATGCGAAAATCTCGATTATGTATAGACGTTGAAGAAACGTTTTACATCTTCTCCGACTTTTTATGCTCTATTATAGCCCTAAAATCTCGTTTCAGCTCATTTCGTTATGTCGTTGATAAACGTGTAAAAATCTTGATTACGTAGAGACATTAATGGAAGTTGTAGAAAGTATGGACATTTAATTAAAAAACATTTAAAAAAAAAAAACCGGTTAAATATTGCAATTTTTTAAAATACACAAAATAAGTACATAATAACCTAATTATTTATTAATTTGATAAAATTACAAATTTATGGTAAAATTAATTACTTTTCTCTGATAAAAATTATATTCTAAAAAGGAAAATAAATTTACATTGCTTCTCCTATTTTAAAAAATGAAATGACACATTTACCCCCATAATAATAATAATAATAATTATTATTATTTTAGGAATTTTTTATTAAAAAGAAAAAAAGAAAAGAAAATAAAGAGTGGAATCAGCCACTTTATACGGCTGGCGTGCAAATGCACCTCCCATGCCTAAACTTAAGCGGCTCCTTTCTAGTTTCCCAATATGCCTATAATAATAATTACTAATTTATTTCAATGCTTTTCATTATTTTTTTATTTAAAAAATAATTCAAATTAAATTTATATACAAAAACCTGTCGTTCCATTATTATTTAATTTTTTATTATTTTTATTATTTCAGTCGGAATGACATTAAAATTAAAATAAGAATAATTGAATTTATAAACTTGATTTTAAAAATTAATTAGTTATAAAGAAAATTTTAATTTCATATTATTAAACAAAAGTTAGATAAAATTATAATTAATTAAATTTTAATAACGGTATAAAATAAATAAATATATATATAAAAAATCTAGTTGACAAGTTAGTTCCTATTCTCGAAAATAAATTAATTTTATATATTTAGTCCATATATATTATTTATTATTTCATGAAAAAATATAACATAAATCTATTATGGTTACAGGTTTTTTTTAATATATATTTTTATTTCTATTATATACACACTTGTGTCAATATAATTATTAAAATCAACTTTATTTATTTATTTATCAAAACCAATTAAACATTAAACAAATTATAAATAATTAAATATAAAATCGTAAAGTCACGCGAAAAGTAAAAATAAAAAAAATAATAATAATTTATTTTCAGTTTATATCTCGAAAATCTCTTTTACCAAATCAATTTTGAAAATGTAATAAATTATTATTAGATATTAACAATCTTATAATAATTTTTTTAAAATATATAAAAAATATATTAAATATGACTTGAGGACGATAATTATAATAATTTGTTTCATATTTTTTTAATAAATAAACAAATATATGATAATTATTCATTATTCATTATTATTTGTTTTGAAAAAAATAACTAAATGATTAAAACAACATTATTTTAAATTTTTATTTTCATTTTATTCTTTCTAACTTTTAAAAAATACTGATTCATTATTAAAAATTTATAATCTTTTTTATACGACCAAAATAAATTATTAGAAATAAAAATAAAATCAAACAAGAAAAAAAAAGTCAAACATCATATATATATATATATATAAATTTTTCGACTCGAACGAGATAATAAATATTTTCATGTGAGAAAAAACTTTAAAATTAGTTATTATTTTCTCAGCTTATTTATATTTTGATAAATATAATAATTAATATGTAAGTACGTTAATGGATGCGTACCATTGACCAAAAAGTCAAATATTTAAATTTTCGGTGATATAAAAATAATAAAATAATAATTATTATTATGGTATAATTTAGGTGGGGTGGGTGTAACCAATTGGATAATTTTCAGATGTGGACGAAAAAAATAGAGAGGGGGATTTGAAATGTGACAACTATCTCTCTTACCTGTTTTTATTTATTTATTTAGTTTTAAATTAAAATAAACAAATTTGAATAATTATTTTTATTAAATCTTTAAATCTAAGTTATGCTTTTATTATTTAACATTTGACGAATTCTCTAATTCCGATGTTTAAATTTTTATATCTAACGTATAAAATACGTATGTATGTAGATAATTATTATCGTTCAAAATCACCAAGTACCTGTATAATATTTGAATAAAATAAGGATAATATCTTAAAAACGGGGATGGAGAAATCTTTTTCTATCTCCATCTTCATTACTCATTCAATTTCAATCCTGCAAATTTTTTAATTTATTTTCATGGGCCTCGGGCAGATAGGGAAGTTGGATGGAGACAGGGACGAGGAAGATAATAATCTCCATCCTCCTTCATTCTCCACCTCATTTAGGACAAGTCTCCGATCCAGTAGGTTAATTGAATATTTTTATAAAGAATAAAATAGACTCGTAAAGATTCTAGACTCTCGAGAAGCTAGTAATCATCTTCGTCACGCCCTCGACGATAGTAAAAATACTTTATATAGATATATACTAAAAGTCGTAAAACCTAAAACTATGTAAAATTAATCCACTCCTATCCACGTAGACGAATAGCTGCCGCACGTTAAAAGCACAAAAGAGTGGTGCAATTATGATGCATGTAAGTAGATAATTACTCCAAGTCAAAATTATAAAGTAATACAAAAAAATATTGTAAGAAAATGAATATAAGGAGAAAACTAAAAGAAAATAAGAATAATATCGAAAAAAGTTTTAACTTTAATTAAAATATTTATTAAAAAAATAATGAAAACAAAAAATACTCTAACACTTTAAAAATTATTAATTATTAGTAATATTTAATTAAATTTTTTAGTGTAAAAGAAAAAAAATATTTTAGAACTTTTAAAATTGTTTAAATGCAAATATTTTTAAATAAAAGGTATTTATTTTAAGTTTGAAAATATTTTTTGAAAATTTTAAAAAGTTTGTATTTAAATAAAAAAAAAAAAAAAAAGAAAAGAGATATTTTAGAAATAAGAATAGGAGGCGGGGGCCGGTGTGGGCTCGGCGTGTGCGGCGGTGCGAATAAATGATTGACGGAGTAATTCAAGCATTTGATGAACGCCGGCAGGTGGTTATGTGGGCCATCCCTCCCACCAGATCCATATTCCCTCTACAAGAAATTATTATAACAAAGACAAAAATTTATTTAGTAAATTCCGAAAATAACATTAATTTTTTTTAAATTATAAATTTTAATTTTTTTCAAATTTACCGAACCATTTTAACCAATAATTTAACTAGATAAAAGAGATAATTATTTTATTAAGATAATTATAATTAATTATAAAGGGGAATTATTGATGAGGTGGATTAAATGTCACATCATTTATCAAATAGATGGGAAGGATTTGTCTACATATATATTAATTCAAATAGACTAAAGGGATAAATTTTCATATAATAAAATCGAAATTAAATTAATTAAAATTATTTATTTAATTTCCTATGTTTTTGTCGACGTTTTTTTAATTCTCTAATCGGCGTTTTATTCAACGTATAAAAAACGATTAATTCATTTATTTAATTTTTTTGTTGGGTGGGGTTTATTTGTCTTATTATTTTTATTATTAATTACTGATTCATTACTGCAGCTGGATCCTTCGTCATCTTCTTCTTCCTCTTCTGCCGACGCGTTCTTGGCCGTTTGCAATCTCTCTTCATTCGCCATTTTTTTGTTTTTTTTTTCAATTTCTTGGCGAGGGTTCATCCGAACGCTAAGCCCAGCTCTCACATTTGTTTTACTTGCTTTTCACTTTGAACGGAGTGGGTGTTCGGATCGGTTTTTTAGGGCTTTGTTTTTGGACCTGTAAGGGGGATTTTGATCCATACAGAGCTTGTGTGATTTCTTTTTCGGTTTGACATAGATCTGTCGGAGGGAGATTCCGTTTGTGTTCTTGATTTTGTGTGGGATTGCTGAGAATGTCTGGACCCTTGGATCGATTTGCCAGACCATGTGAGTTTTCCTTTTCTGATTGCTTTCATTTTTCCTTCTTTTGACCATGTGGTCTGCAATGGATTTGGTTTGGCGCTCGTGTTTGCTCCTAATTTGGGGCTTCTTGGCAGAGGAATGAATTTAAGAGAAATGGAGTTGCGTTAATTCAGGAAGGGCTTTTTTTGGAGGGTTTATTTTATTTAATTTTACTCCTGGGTTCTGTTCTTGAAGTGAAATAGTCTTAGATCGTCATTGTTTCGTCAAACTATTTAGCTTTGTCTCTGATCGGAGATAGTTTTATTAGAATGATAGAATTTTTACTCTTAGGTTTGGTTCTTTTGAAGTTTGACTGTTTTAAGTCCCAAGGAATTTCTTGGTCTACCTAGCTGCCTTCATTGGGGTTTAGATAATTTCGGAAATATTATATGACAATCTATCTTAGTTGTTCAGTTTAGAAGGCACAATTGGATGGAAATTATGTCTTCTTGGTTGTGGATAACTCCACTTTGTGTATAGTTGCTAGATGATGAAAATTTGTCGTGTTAATTCTGGGAGTTTCATTTCCCTCGTTCTGTAAAGGATCTTGTCGTAACCTGCTTACGCCGTGCATTTTGGATCACCTTGCTAACATAGTTCTGCTTGCCACCCCTGATATGATATTTGTGCTCTTGTTTTGGTTTGTACTTAGTTTCTCATGACACATAGTTAATAGCCTGAAAGAAAAATTATGTTGTGGGATTTAGATCTCATAGTCAATCATCTGTAGAAATTGGTAAAAATTGCTTTCATGTGTTTGGTTAGGTAGGAAAGTCATAGCTTCCATTTGAAGTAGCTAATCGTTTGGAGGTCCGCAAACAGCATTTTTTTTCCTTTTCAGTCGCATAATATTTTTGTTGTTTTTACGTGCTCTTATTTATGCATTTTTGTAAATGGTAGGCTTTGAAGGGTTCTCTGGAAGTGATGAAAGAAAAGAAAGGAAATCTGATTTTGAAAACTCGGAGGATGAAAGGAGGACGAGAATTGGATCTATAAAGATGAAAGCGTTAAATGCATCCTCCAAATTCAAACATTCCCTAAAGAAGAAGAGCAGTAGGAGAAAAAGTGATGGTCGGGTCAGTTCCGTTTCTATTGAGGATGTTAGGGATGTTGAGGAGCTGCGGGCTGTTGATGCATTTCGTCAAGCACTAATAATGGAAGAATTGCTGCCAGATAAACATGATGATTATCACATGATGTTGAGGTGTGTAACCTTTCAGAAAGTCCTTTCTTCATTTTATTGCTAATACATGGTTAAATGAACAAAAATCTTACTGCTTTGAATTTTTTGGAGATTGGTTTTATTCCGATTGGATTTTGTATAATGGTTCGATAACAAAAGCAAAAAGTGAACATCCTTCTGAAAAAAGATAGCTTCACTCATGCTAGATCGTTAGCAAATTTCGAATGCAGTTGCAGCCTTTATACATATTTTCCTTCATCTTCTTGTTATGCCTCAAATTACTGCCCTTTGACTCTTTTTCCCACCCCTGCTTTAAGAGGTGCGTGGAGGCCTACGTAGCCTTGCCTATCTGACTCGAGTACAGGTATCACATTAGTTTTGGCCTTTGATCTAGTAAAAATCAGATTATTTTTGGTAGCAACTTTATATTAAAGATCTTTTGTAGTCCGTATGATTCATAAGTTCAAAAGAATTATTTTAATTATATTTGTGCCCTTTGTCTCACATAGGCTTATAAGAGCTTTGTGCTCAGTATCCATGGAGCTTTTGTGCCTCCGAAAAGCATTGTTTCAACTTCATGATATCCTGACTTCTCGAAGTTCTATTCTTTCGATAAGCTGCACAATTTTAACATATTGTTTTAGATGATATGCTGGTAATATCCCGATTGTCTTTTTAGGTTTTTAAAAGCTCGGAAATTTGATATCGAGAAAGCTAAACATATGTGGGCTGATATGCTTCAGTGGAGGAAGGAGTTTGGTGTTGACACAATCGGTGAAGTAAGTACAGGTTAATCCGAACTTTGTTTTCTTAAAAGAAAAGAAACTTTTTAAACCTTATTATACTAATCATTCCCCCCAGGACTTTGACTTCGTGGAGAAAAATGAAGTTCTGAGGTATTATCCTCATGGTTATCACGGGGTGGATAAAGAAGGAAGGCCTATTTACATCGAAAGGTTGGGGAAAGTAGATCCGAACAAACTTATGCAAGTGACAACTATGGATCGATATATAAAGTACCACATACAAGAGTTCGAGAAGAGTTTTGCTATGAAGTTTCCAGCCTGTTCTATTGCTGCAAAGAGGCACATAGATTCAAGCACCACAATTTTAGATGTCCAAGGCGTGGTATGCTGGTTTTAAACGTTAGTGTTTTTTATTATCTGATTGGTTCGTGAACAAATCATTCAAATTAATTTTACCTTTCCCTTTTTCGACTTTTATTTAGGGCCTCAAGAATTTCACCAAGTCTGCTCGGGAACTAATCATGCGGCTGCAGAAAGTTGATGGTGACAATTACCCAGAAGTAAGCAACTTCACCCTTTTGTAATGACAACATAAGAAACCTATATATTATTTCCAATCTCCATCCATCACTTGCAGTTGATGCTTTTGTGGGGTATGGTAAATGTAGCTTTTGATTGACGTATATTATTTATTGGATTGTACAGACGCTCAGCCAAATGTACATTATCAATGCCGGTCCTGGATTCCGGATGCTGTGGAACACCGTGAAGTCTTTCCTTGACCCCCGAACGACATCTAAAATTCATGTATGTGGTAAATTTCTTTTTCGTCTATTTTGTAGTTGTTATCTATCTGCTTCAGATTATGACCTCTTTTATTTAAATTTGTGTTAGGTTCTCGGAAACAAGTACCAAAGTAAGTTACTTGAAATAATTGATTCCAGGTAATAGGAGTTTATTTATTTTCTAGATACCATATAATAAGTTCTTATCCTTTTCTCATTCATTAAATGCATGCATTGTGCAGTGAGTTGCCTGAATTTCTGGGTGGAAGTTGTACCTGCGCCGATGTGGGGGGATGTCTTCGTTCAGACAAGGGGCCATGGAGAAACCCAGAAATTGAAAAGGTTGATTGTGGTCTTCTAACCTTTGATCCTTTATAATTAGTTTTAATTTTTGGGACAGCAGTTGAATGAGCATTTTTGGCAGATGATTCTTAATGGTGAAGCACGACGGGCCAGACAGGTTGTAAAAGTTCTAAATAGTGAAGGGAAGGTTGTTGCATATGCCAAGCCACATTACCCAATGGTAACTTTCTATTTTTTGAAAAACTATTCTAATTTGGACCTATTTCTATTCTCTCTTTTCTAATTTCTATAAAAAAGCGTGAAAATGTTCTCATTTGAATCGTCTTGTCAAAGGTGAAAGGTAGCGATACATCCACTGCCGAGTCAGGATCCGAAGCTGAAGAGATCGCTTCGCCTAAAGCAATGAAGAGCTATTCTCATCTTCGGTTGACCCCTGTTCGGGAAGAAGTAAGTTTCGCTTGTTAATTGATGTTTGTGGTTGCTAGGGAACAAATGTTGTTTTGAGTGCTATTAGATATTCGAGTTTATGCGACAATACCTCAAGTTTTAAGATTGGCTTTTGAGTAGACTGCAGGTTTAGCCTTAGATTTTCTTAACCTTATTCATTGGTTGTTGCAGGCAAGAGTCGGCGGGAAAGGAGGCTTTGCCGCTACCTTCTCCGGGTATGATGAGTATGTTCCCATGGTTGACAAAGCTGTCGATGCTGAATGGAAGAAGCAGGTTTCACTCCAACGGCCTAATGCCTTGAAAGGTTAGCAGTTACCCGATCCATTGCAACTTCTGTGAACCATGTCAGCCAATAACTTTGGACATATTCGACGTATCGATCGAATCATGTCCCCATAGCAAGATTGTTACAAGCAATGCTGATTGCTGAATATACTTCACTGGTTAGGTCCATAGAGTTAGATTATAGTTTGTCAATGATTTTAAAGTCTCTTTATTTATTGCAGGGGTTCTTCCACTGCCCGACACCCAAAAAACATCCGAAGCTCTTCATACTCGAATGTTGGTAGTATTCATGGGCTTCTTCATAGCCATTTTGGCGTTCCTCTGTTCATTAGCATGCCGGATAAGCGGGAAGAAGTTGTGTACCGGTAGTCAAAACACCACTCCAGACTTGTCCCATGATAAAACAGGAACGCAGAAGAATCGCCCCCCTTCACCAATTGCTAAAGTTACAGAAGCAGAACTCCTCTCTAATGTAATGAAGAGGTTGGGTGAGCTGGAGGAGAAGGTTGACACGCTCCAATCAAAACCATCCAAAATGCCTTATGAGAAAGAGGAACTATTGAACGCTGCCGTCTGCCGTGTGGATGCGTTAGAAGCAGAGCTTATCGCTACCAAGAAGGTATACATATTGCTATACTCAGATCTTTTCAGCTTTGGAGTCTCGAACTTCTGATATGTGAATGTGTTTAACTCGTGTTTCCATTAGCTTGCCATGATATTCTTATATGAGTCGTTTTGTGTTCCCGTGACCCTGTTCCTACAGTCGGTCGTTTGTCTTGTTGGGTCGTCTGAAAATGTCGTCTAAGTCGCGTTAAAACTTCTCTGTGTAGGCTTTGCATGAAGCATTGATGAGACAGGAAGAACTACTTGCTTACATTGATAGCCAAGAGGAAGCAAAGTTGCGGGTAAGCTAAAAGCTAATACATCTATGTATTTGCTCATGTTTGCAACGAAACACATTTTTCTGATTGATGTATATGTTCTTCCATTCACTAGAAAAAGAAATTTTGCTGGTAATATGCGTCGTGGTCGTGGAAAAGAGGAGGATTCGTCGCTAACGCAGCGGGCTCTCGTGTCGTGTATCGGCTATGACTTGGAGTTTGAAGGTCCGCTGCTTGTCGTTGATCGTACTGACTTTATATTTGAATGATGTGATTTGTCTCCAATAAGGAGAGAGAAAAACACATGCGCATAGTTTGTGTGAAGAAATTACAATATGAAGCTTTTACATGTTTCCAAAAGAATATCTATTTATACAGAGTTTTTTGTTCTATGTTATTTATTTTGCTTTTTCCCGCCATTTTTTTAGTTCCTATCTTTATTAAATTCTTTATTTACATTAAAATTTCAATATTACAACCCACATGTAGGTATATATTGTAACCGTCTAAGCCTACTATTAGCAGATATCTTTTCTTTGGTTTTCTCCTTAGGCTCACTACGATATTATCTTATTTGGGCTTTCTCTTATGGATTTCCCTTCAACAATGTTGGTGAATGGAAGAGGTTTCCACACCCTTATAAGAAATGTCTTATGTACCTTTGCTCAAGGTTTTAAAACGCGTTTGTGAGAGATAGGTTTCTACACCCTAATAAGAAATGCTCTGTTCCCCTCTCCGACCGATGTGAGATCTCACAATCCACTTCTCTTAGGGATCTCACAATCCACTTCTCTTGGGGGCCAACGTCCTTGCTGGCATACCGTTTGGTGTCTATCTCTGAGGTTTCCACACCCTAATAAGAAATGTTTTGTTCTCCTCTCCAACCGATGTGAGATCTCACAATCCACCCTCCTTGGGGGCCCACATTCTCATTGACACACCATTCGGTGTCTAGCTCTGATATCATTTGTTACGGCCTAAGCCCACTGCTAAAAAAACGTGTCAGTTAAGGAGATATTTCTATTCTCACCATAATACCTTATCAAGTAATTGTCTTCAATTAGCAACAACATTTATTTATATTATATATTTATTTACTCGAGATAAGATGATAAAATAAAATTGAAACTTTTTAAAACAAGTAAGACATGTTAAAGTACTTAACAAATATTAAATAAAAAACATGCATTTACATTAAGAAAAAGCATAAACTTTTTTTTTTTTTTTTTTTTTTTTTTTTTTTTTTTTTTTTTTTTTTT